CTATGCCCAGTAAGAAGAACCAATTATTCCACAGTACCTCCCAGATTCTTCAGAATGTAGCATTCCAGTTCTGGGTATGTCTCCAAAAATGTTTTATAGAATATGTATAACCAATATAAATAATAGAGTGAATAGAGAGCAGCATAGGAGTCTTGCTTATTTTTGGTATTAAGTATTTCTCACATAATGAAAAGTTATCTTTCTGAAAATATACTTATAACAGTCCATTACGAGCTTGACACCTGCCACTTTGATAGGCAGAAGGGCCTATGGACTGTGGGCCATAACTCCCACACATCACAAGGGGCCTGGGAAGCAGATGCTAGACAACAGAGAAAATATTTTCAAGTCTTAAAAAAGCATTGTGGGGTGGGCAGTCTCTAATGAATTTTAAAGGGGAAATGCTGCTACTGATGTGTGCAGGATAAATGTTCTCTTGATTTCCTCTTTGTAAACCTCTCCAAGCCACTTTTGGTCATTCAAATAACAATTTGGGAGTCATGCAGAGGCAGCTTCTGAAAGGTTAACTCTTAGAAATTTCAAAAGTATGCATTGAGCAAGCAATGCACACTCCTATATGTTTGTGTTATGACACTTTACATCATGTTGATTTCTAGAATAAAAGTCAGGTTCTTCTGTATTTTTTGCACCACCTGACTAGCAAATTATTTATTTACTAAATATATAGACCACCTTTCTATCACAGCACTGAAAGGTATTTACAATTCAAAATAATCACTATGATATAATATATATAGTTTGAAAGGGAAAATTGGTGGGAAGCAAAGAGAAAAATAAGCAAGCTTAGGTACTGCTAGATAATGTAATGGTTGGATAATTACTAGGTGGAAGAACAGCCACTGGTGTAGAGAGAGAGAAGCAGTCAAGCAGAGGTGGAGGTGCCTCAAGGCTTCATCTCTTTCCCAATGCAAGCAGTTGGTTCTGGATGTGGAGAAGGCACATGGCAAATAGTTTCAGGCAGGCAAGTGGAGGGGTCTCACTAACCGACTTCTCCCTCTTTAATACAGTCACATAGTATGATACAGATCTGTACAACTTTCTGTACAATCTGTACAACTTTCCTACTGTATTCAGAAATGTCTATATACACTTACAAAATATTATTTACCAAGTTTCCAAAGCAAAACACTAACAATTTATGTCTAGTATGATCACTGTTCCTTCACGTGTAATAAAACTATCAGTCTTGTTTCATGAAATGTTCCAATTTATTTGCTAGTCAAGATAATCAGAATAATTGAGGCTAAAGGCAGGAAGTGGTACAGTGGTGGTGTGACGTGAAATGGGCCCATTCTGTTGGGTGTCTCTTCGCAGCAAGAGATGCAGGGGTGACTGGAGCAGCTACATTATGTGGCAGCACACAACCTGCATATCAAGTACATGTGAGTCAGTCTTTCCCCACCAGCAGGAGTTCTTATCCTTTCCAGGATTCTAACACTTGAAAAAATCAAAGTTCCTACAGGCCATTAATTGTTTCTTCTCTCTTACAAGGTTCTTCTCACCTGCTATGCTAAATCCTAGCTTGTTCTGGATGCTGCTATCCCTGGGGGACTCCTCCAGCGTTTATAAGTATTGTTGAGTTTCACTCCTCAAAGATGAGACTGATAGCATTAACACCTTCACATCACTTTCTAGTGTTCCTGGATACGTCAGGTAGAACAGGTTTCCCCTGTTTCCCTGGCTTATCATAAACAGTCTCTGTGTTAAAAATAACACTGTATTTTAGCTAAACAATAGCTGGTATAATACGCTGAGTATCTAAGTACATTGCTAGTCTGATACCACTCTTAAACCAGCTGAGTTGCAGTTCTCTGGGTTGGTATTATGTGAAGCTCCAGCACAGGAGTTTTGCTGTCTGGCTGAGACTGGAAGTACTGCAGTGCTGTAAGACCTGAAACCATAAAGATAATTAATATTCGGGAACTGCAGTGTTTTGCTGCTTCTCTTTGATTTAGGCAGTTTCATCAATGAAGCATAGTTTAATAAGCAACAGATTTCATCACCATTACCTTTTCAATATAAATGATTTTAGAAAGCAACATCACTCTCTTTTTTAAAATCTATGTTGCTCCCAAAGTCATAAGAAGATAAACTAGTGTCAGCATTTCTTGTATAGCAAATAGGTACTCTAATGAATCTCATGCCTGAGTACCAGAGAAGCCACCCTACTTTTTTTCATTTTAGCATCAGTCTTCACAAGAATTACTGAACATGTGAAAAAAATGCAGCATCCATCATGTAACAGTTTTTCTTTGCTTTCCATTATTTGAAGGCTATCTCTGTAATGCTTTACATATCTACTTCTTTAAAAAGGCCACCCCAAATTGTTATTTAGGAAATAGATTTAAAAGATCTTGGGGAAAAGAAGAATTGGAAAAACAGGAAGCATCTGTCAGTGAACGCAATACATAAAAATTTGCTCTCTTTCAAGATTCATTTTTTCCACATTTCAAAATCGGTGCCCTGTTTTTGCTTGAGATGCCGTGCATTTGAATTACTTTATTATGAACCATTCACTTTCAGACTGCATACTGATGAAGTAAGCCCTCAGCTAGTTCAGTCTCTCTCTGTCATACACAGTCATGTAGAATTGTGCAGATCAGACTCAAAGTTACAGGAGTTCCCTGAAGCAAGTAGCATGTCAGCCACATCACACACCTGTAAGGCCATTCCAACCTACATCAACTAGGGTATCAGAATTCCGAAGGCACTGGGTTACTGTGGGAAAACTTCAGTTACCTGCCCCACACAGAACCTTAGGAAGACAGGATAGGGGCAGGGGATTTCCTAATTTTAATCTCCTCCCCTAAATCTATTCACAAATGTCACAAACAGAGTCAATAGGTCTCTTGAGGATGGGGCACAGATCCCAACAGATATAAGAGTGTGTGTGCACATGGAAACAGCTTGAGCATGCCCTGTACATGAATATTCTAACAATGGGACTGTCACAACAACTAAGTGGAATAATTAGTTATTTTATTAAGTGCTAAAAAATGGGAGAGGAAGTCCTTTAATATGAAATATCTATAGATCTATGTTGTCAAGGAATGGTGTCCCCTCACAATCAGAGACTATAACCCTACAGAAATAGGAAGACATAATAGTTTGTGCCAAAGTCATCCACTTTTTTAAAACATCTAAATTAAATTAAAAATTATTACTTTTAAAGTACATTAAGAATTAATCAAAAAAGATAAAGAAGGTAGGAAGGTTATCTTTCAAGTCAAATTTGTTTTGCTTGGCACTTCTTGGTTTCTGAAGTCTACATACCTCCCCTACCTCCTAAACTGTCCCCATTCTGTCTAACTGTGACATGCTGGAACATTATCTGCGTTTGCCGTGATGTTGAGAGTCTAGGGAACATCACCTTGAAACCTAACTGCTGAACGAAGCCACTTCTCTGTTACCAGCTCCAAAGTGCAGTTCTCCTTTATTTCAGACACTGTTCGTCACTCTGGCTACCAACCTGAAGACAAGCTTCCCCTTTCTGGAAAATGGTCTGCGGGAGAGAAACAGGCAAGGAAGGGCCTCCGTGCCGGGTGGCCCCTGCAGTTCCAGGTTCTGGGAAATCACTGCATTGCCAGCCTGAGTGATCTCTGGCCCAGAGCCCCGCCCAGCCGCAGAGCACATGCAGAGCATCCTCCTCCCGGCCTTGCCGAGGAGACACGACGCCGCGGGGGAGGGGCGTCTAGGACTCCGCCGCATTGCTTTCTTCATCCGGAGCCTATCGCCGGCCGCGTCTCCTCCTCCGGATCTGGTGCAGTCCTCCCCTTCCCCAGACAGCCTGGGATGACCGGTCAGCCGTCTACTGAGGAAGGGGAGCTTATAGCTGAACTCCTGGGAGCAGCGCTTGCAGGGAAACGGCAAAAGGAAACAATGCCAAGCCCGGGTGGGAGAACTCCTCATGAAACAGCCGGTGTCAGAAGACAGGACTGCACGGGAGCCCGCCCACCTTGGCACCTCGTGCAGTCCTGGGCTACTCAGACTCCCGCGCCGCAGCAGGCCCACTTCCCAGTGGCGAGCAAATCGAATCGGCCCCACGAGTCCCCAGACGCTCGCCTGAAAAGACGGGCCATCGCCTGCTTGACGCGTGTGTCCGCGCGCTGCAATTAAAAGCTCGCCGTCCAGACAGATCCGCACAGGGGCAATTTACAAACGAGGATCCTCCTGCCTTACATAAGCCTGTCGTGTCCAAAGTAACGCTGGAGCAAGTTCCTTAAGCACTTCCCATCACATTGGTGATCTGGGAACACCACGCGGATGTTTGTCTGTTTTCCTCCAACAATACATATACGCTCGTGCACATACTTACACCTATGGATATAAAGCATTGTATTTCCTATCGCCATTTACACTGCATGCAGTTATTCCCCATATGAGCATACATGTTTATATATATATGCATGTATGGGGGGGCCGCTACACTATTCATACACCTTGTATGTATGTATGTCTATGTAACATTGCATTTATCTACAAGGGCCTTTAATATTATACTTACATACTTTCGCCCAGATACACTAGGTATTGCTTATTTATTTATTTATTTGATTTACTATCCCGCTCTAACCCCTAAGTGTCTCTGTATACACCACCTACACCTGCGCCTTTCTAGGTCCTGCCCGTATTTATCCGTGTATCACTTCGTTTCTAATTCTACACACACTCTCCTGGGAAGACACAGGCAAGTACTGGATTTATCCCCGCCGCAGTAAATCGTTCCTCTCTCAGGGAAACTGCAGCACTGGCAATATGAGCAGCACCCCCTGTCTCACCCGGTAGACAGAGGCGATCGCAGGCACGCCCCCCCCCCCCCCCCCGCCTCGGCCCCCCCCCCCGCCCCCGAGCTCAGCGGCACGGCATTCCCAGGCCGGGCTCCTGCACTGCAGAGCAGTGTCTTGGACAGCCGCAGTTTTCTGGAAGGAGAACCCACCGCCCACCTAGACAACCCCCCTCCCCGCTGCCAGCGCCGTTACCTGCCGTGACGCCTTCGGTCCCCGCCATGGCTGGAGGCGTCTGCGGCACCCTCCGCTCTATCGTTCAGCTCCGGGAGGCGAGAGCAGCCGGGAGGGGAAGGAGCGCTCCGCTCACTCTGCAGCCGCAGCCATCGGGTGTGCGGCAATCCTGCAGCAATTGCTTCTCCCCCAGATCTGCCCACTCGGCCGAGGCTTCGCTCCTGCCTCTTTCCCCACCCACGACTGGCTGTGCGAGCAGCCAAAGGGAAGGCTTGGCGCTTGACCCGGCCGTTCACAAGCCTTTCTTCCCTGCTGCAAGACTCCGGCTGCTCAGATTTCTGCAGCGCCCCTCCCCTTTGGAGTGGGCTGCCTCCCCCCGCATGCACTAGCACACACGGGAAGCAGGGCTGCAGTTGACAAAGGCGCGTTTACAACCAGTCCTCCACGAAGCAGGTTTGTGTACCCGAACCACCATCGCACACCTTTTTTTATTATTATTTTAAAGAGGCGCCTCTTAATTTTCAGGATTGCCTGCTCCTTTTTGGAAAATCACAGCCAACACAGAACAGGCTCTTGCTGAAGGACTCTGTCCACCAGGCATCCCATGTGAATGCCAGGGTCAAACACCAGGACTAGTGGTGCCTTGAAATGGCTAAATGCACAAATAAACCAGATAATGTCTAAGAGTCTTCCACGCAACAACAAAAGCACAAGTATATTTAAACCATTGTAGGATACTTCCACAAGACAGGCATCAGGTAGTCTGGTTGGTTCCAAAACCAGAAGTCCTTTTATTAGGACCAACCAAATGACACAGAACAGTGCACAAGCTTTCCAGTTCTCCAGAATTCTTCATCAGGGTGGATTTGGGGATGGGAAAGAAAAAAATTGGACATTTCAGGCCTTGTCTTGCCACTACTCTCTTGTAAGCTAAACCTTCTATATCTCAGGTGAGAGTAATATGGATTTATCGTTGTGGTGTGTCAGAGACAACAGCTGGGATGCGGTTCTTGAAACCAGCCATGTGCAGGGCTGCATAAAAGTTATGCACACCATGGAAGTGCACAGTGTTGAAGGAATTAAAGCCATATAACACTTTATACAGCGGTGGCAGGCATTGTGCAAAGGATACTGCTGGTAGTTATTAATACACAAATGAACAAGAAGCAGTGGGGAAAAGCAATTCTTTCTGCTTTTTATGTTAGTTATTAATAACTTCAGAAACACTGGTGTATTATACACAACAGTCACAGTATCAATTAATGTTATTTTGATCACATTTTCCCAGGTTAAAAATGTTAGATTCACTGGTATGGTATCGCTAGGAATTTCTATTATGTAGCAGAGTGCACAAGACTTGCAGCAGCAGCTTCTCTGTACTGTATGTGCTAGCACAGGTACAAAGTTACAGGGAGCCACTTGTCAAGTTCAAACTAATAAAAATCGTTTATTCAGGGAACTACATTCTAGATAGCATAGGTGAGAGAGGGATACGATCTAATCTAACTAGCTAGGTTGGATGCAGATGCAGAATGCATGTCCTGCATCCATGGTGCCAAAGATGGAGAGCATGCTCCTTTGTGTGTGTGTGTGAGAGAGAGAGATGTGTTAAGCCAGAAGGAAGGGAGTCTCATCCCTAAGAATAGCATTTTGCTTCAAAGAGATAGTATCAGATAGCAGGAAGGAAAAGATACTCTGTGTATCCTGACACCCTATCTAAATCTATGGTGCTGTCTCTGAAGTCTGAGGTAGGAGACAGTCTACACTCCTCTACTTTGAACAAAAAATGCTTGAGAAGATCCAATATCCGTATAAAAATAGGAATACTCTGAGGGAATATGTGTGGACTTTACACAACAAGTGCACATTTGATGGAAAAAAAAGATTTCATAGAATCATAGAGTTGGAAGGGACCTCCAGGGTCATCTAGTCCAACCGTCTGCACAATGCAGGAAATTCACAAATACCTCCACATCCACAGTGATTGCTGTTCCACGCCCAGAAGATGACAAAAAACCTCTAGGATCACTGGCCAAACTGGCCTGGAGAAAAATTGCTTCCTGACCCCAAAGTGGCAATCAGCATTTTCCTGGGTATGTAAGAAATGGCCAGCAGAGTTCCCTCTAAGCTGAGTTAGTATGAGCTAGCTCACAGCTTTTTAGCCTCTGGCTCGCACATTTTTGTCTTAGCTCAGGAAGGATGGCTCCAGAGCAAATTAATTTCTGCAGCAGCCAAATCACTTGCTCACAACTTTAATGCCAATAGCTCACAAAATAGAATTTTTGCTCACAAGACTCCACAGCTTAGAGGGAACATTGGCCACAAGAACTAAGCACTGAGGCAAACTTTCCTGCCCTCCCTCTCATGATCTGCCTAAAGTCACACAATCAGCATTGCTGTCAGATGGCCATCCAGCCTCTATATGAAAGCCTCCAAAGAAGGAGAGCCCACCACCTCCCGAGGAAGCCTGTTCCACTGAGGAACCACTCTGTCAGGAAGTTCTTCCTAATGGTTAGCCAAAAACCTGATTTAATTTCAACCCGTTGGTTCTCAGTGCCTTTTATTTATTTATTATTTATTTATTTATTAGATTTGTACCCCGCCCTTCCCAACGGGCTCAGGGCGGCTACAACAGAGGCAATTGCCATAACAACAGTTAAAACAACATAAAAACAATCATTAAACAGTATAAAACAATCATTAAGTAAAGTGCGGTGCTCTTGATGTTAAATTTTTCTTAATCCAAGATGAGTTCCATTCATCAACCTAACCTGACAACATACATTCTTCGGTTAACTAGGTGTCTGCCCAGGGCCGGCTCACCTCCAGATCTAATCCACCGTCGAAGATGGCAACTCGGTGGTGGTACAGTGCTGCTGATTAACAGGGCTCCTGTTAGAATAATTGCCCTCACTCCTCCAGCTTTGGTGCTAAAGAGCAGAAGGGTTTGATGGCAGTGAAGAAATTATTGAGTAGATGCTTTCTTACTATGTCCCCACCAGACCCCTTATTCATATGGGGTGGTAATTTGCCTCTCCCTTGTACAGAGACATCAAAGGGCAAGCCTGATGCCCTATCCGCTCATTTGCTTTAGCACCATAGCACAGAGGAAGTCCTCCTGAATAAACAGGTATTATGGGAGATCTGTACATATAGGCTGTACCTCCAGCTGCAAGTTAACAGCTCCCTTTCCTTCTTCCACTTTCGTCCACCTGTCATGCAGATGGGTGAGGGACTGAACTCACAGCCAGGCAATTTTATGTCCTGAAGAAGCCTTGCACGATTTTTTTGGGTTGAGTTTGTTATCAGTACATGTTGCTCTGGTTGATTTGGCATGTTCCGTCTTTTCATTAAACGTGGGCATTTATGGAAGTCCAATGAATAGTAGCTGATAGTAGCTTTTCCCGTAGCAATATTCAGCTGTACCTCATGTTCACTAATCACATGTGTTTGTACTCAGCAATGATGGTGCACAAGTAGTGAGTGGGTGGTTAGTGTCACTTTGGGGGGGAAATGTGGATGTTTGCTGAACAGAGACATTACCATGTGAGCCACAAATGTTCCTCGTCTGGGCCAAGTTTCATTTTGTGGTGCGTGAAAGGACTCTCAGGAGTGCCAAAAAAGAAAAAGCTCTAGTAGTAATCTTGTAAATTATTCTTACACAACAAAGGAACATGCTTTTTTAAAAAAACACATTTATCCCAGTTCTTTTCCCTGTCAATGCTGGGGGACAATCAGTGTGGAAAACAAACTTGTGCTGACTGCCCAGGAAGCTGCACCATTTGAAAACTGAAGCCTTCAAATCCCAGTTTTGTAGGGGCTGGCTCGTAAAGAGAGAAATGAAGCATATCAGCAACTCTGCTCTAATTTTGCTTCACATATTTCAGAGATGAGCCCTGGCACTGAAAACAGGGCTTTAGGTCAAATCCAGCTGAGGGAACGCCCACTGTACAAAAGGGGATTTATGGGACAGAGCTGGCTTTACAGTAAAAGAAAGGAAGGAAGAGCAAGCTTTGGAAATATCTCTGTGTTGAACAGCAGCAACTAAAAAGGGTTTCAGGCTCAGCACTTAAATTAGGCCTCAGCTGCCTCAGCTACAGAACCCTCCACTATTCATCATTCAGACAGAAATTCCCAGGGAGATAAGGACAGCATGCCACCCAATTCCATATTCATTTCTCCTCCCCTTCCACACCATGGTCTCAGGGAGCAACATCTGGCCTTTGGCCTGCTACAATTATATATTTAGAATCTGATGGAAAACTCACACAGCATAGGAAACAGGAAACCAGACAAGTTTTGTTTCATGCTACAGTTTCCTAGTATGAAGAGAAAAAAAGACTTTTGCAAAGCCCTAGATACATATGACATTATGGCTGATCTGGAGCTTTGAAAAACAAATGTGACGACATCAGTAGGGAGTCAAAAGACCATACATTTACAACGCTCTTTCTCTCAGTTTTTCTTGAAACACAAAGCACCCCAAATAGCCTCATCAAAACAGATATTGCCAAGCAGAGCCATCTTTTTGAATGTCAAGTGCATGACAACATCAATCTGTATCAAGTCAGGTTGCCTGAGTTACAGCCTGGTTGTAGGTGTGAATAATGCAGAAGGAGCATGGCAGAGTGTGTATGATAAGCGGGTATAAAAACAAAATAGTTTTATTGAAAGTTTTAACACCATTTTTTAAAAAAATGATGGAACTATCAGCATAATCCTATTCTTGGTTTACGCTAGCCGGATGACAACGGGATTGCTACCAAATCTCCTTGTTCCAGAGGAACAAAACGCTGTGATAACTTACACAGGCACAGTAAGGCTATAGAACTGACATAATGCTGTGCTAGTGTGGTGCATGAAGAAAACTCTAGATTAAGGGGCAAAACAGAACAGCATAGAAAGTGTGGTGGTAGACAAGCAGAGCTTAATCAGAATATTACCCTCAAGTATGAGAGGTCGCAAGTGGAGTAAATGGGGAGCCCTGGGTGGCTGCCCTCCCCCTGGGCATATCCAACCATATCAGGGAGTAGGATACTGACTCAATCACTGCAGAATATCAGTATATAAACTCCAGTAACATAATATAGCTCATATAATAACACATATCACCATTTTATGTGGCATGAGTCTATGTCTGTCTGGAGCTCTGAGCCCCAGACTAGGAACTTTGCTGATGGAGACATTTGCACAGACA